TATTTTATTTTTTAAGCTAGCTTCATTACCAGTTACTGTATTTCTGTTAGTCTCTGGAGAAACTCCTGGGGTGCGGAAGACAATATGAAGGTATATGTTCATGCTCCTCCTGAGAGCATAAACTCACTGTACCAGGGTGTATCATAGGCTGCTGAGAGGTATTTGGTCTTTTTGCTCTTAGAGATATTAGTGAAGCAGTGATAATGGAACAAGCCCAGCCTCGGGTTAGAAGGGGTCCAGGTGTGGCTGTGAAGTTCTCCAGGTTTGACTGTGCTTTACAGGCATCCTGCAGAGGCTTTTTCCTGCTTCCTTGCAGTAGCGATGATGGCTTCATTGTGGCCTCTACCCACTGGCCTCTGTGAAACTGTTGGTGCAGGGGCTGGCACCTGTCAGCTGGGTAGCTGAAGGAGAAGGTCATCAGATCTGGGAAAAGGAACTGTGCACGCACAATCAAATGTGTATAAAACCTGGAGGTTCCCTGAGGTTGCCACATGGTATGGCTTAGCTGTGGAGACCCCCACCCCAACTAGCCAGTTCCCTCCAGGTTTTCCTGTAAGCCTAGAAAAATGGAAGTAACATTTGTTTCTGGGGGTAGAGTGGCTGGGTTTTATTAAGAAAGTTTACAGGAGTTCCCCTGAGGATGCTTTGCCCTCTGCATCCCAGCTCACAGCCTTTTGTGAAAGATCCTTAGACGCCTTTCTGCTGATGTTTTCCTTTAGCATGACTGGTCTTCAGCTCTCCAGCATTTTGGCTGGTCCTTGCTCCCTGAAGGCTCAAGCTTGGGCACTCGTCCCATTCTGCTTTTTCCCAAGCACCATTTTCCCAGGTCTCCTATGAGGAGTCAGTCTGTCTAACAGCATCTGTCCTCTCAGAGGGTCTGAGAAACTCCAGACTGACATTCACCAGTTAATTATCTGCTCATTTGAACACTTCTTCCTTATTAGATATTTTCAAAGAAAATACATGACCTTCAGTGTAAATGTTTCGGGAGGTATGGATTCATGCCGGCCTCTTGTGCTCAGACTGACCCATTCCTTGTCCAGGCAGCTGTCGACAAAGTCGACAAAGTCTCTTTCCACTGAGACCCATGGAGATGGAACCCAGCTCTCCTGCCAGCTCAGATGCAGATGGTGGTGAGGGAACAAGATTTGGATGTTCCTCAAATAATGCTCTCTGGGATGTAGGTATTTAAAAAAAAAAAAAAAGTAACAAAAACACCAAGAAGAAAGCACTCTGTCCCAAAAAAAGGCAGCAACCAGAACCTTAGTTATATTCAAAAACCAACGCTTTGGTCCTTTCCTTCCGTGGCAAAAGCAGAAGCATTTTCTTCAGGCTTGGATGACTCACCATGCCTATCTGAAAAACAGTGGGATTTTTAGGGGGCAGTTTGAGGACAGCTCGTGACTGGAAATCAAATTCATCCAGAGAGAGACATTGTGTTTCAGGAAAGGCAGAAGCCAGCTCTCCACAGGGGCCTGCCTAAAGCCATCTCTGCAGGGTGAACTGTGGCACTGGCTTCTCCTTGCAGCTACTGACCCTCTGCTCCAGTTCAGATGATCAGACAGCAGCGGAGCAGAGGCAGTGTGTGTGCTTTGTGCCAGGCTGACCTATCTGTCCTTAGCAGCTCCCGTTGGAGGAGCAGGATCCCAGAGGTCTTGGCATCCTGCTGCTGTTCAGTTCACTGCTGATACATGGATTCAGCGGCTTCGCTTCTTGTGCTAGCCTGAAACCACCACTAGCTCCGTGAGCATGTGCTCCTCAGCAAGGGATGAAAACGCCGTGAGGTGGGACCTCTGTTGACCCATGCCAATGCCTTGTGTGAGGCCAACAGAAGTTCTTCCAGTGTGTTGGCAGGAGGTGTGAGGGATGAGGACTGCCATGTCCACGTTAATGCAGCCTCACGAATGTTATACAAAATCTACCCGAGAGGAAAATGCAGCTCCCGACCAAGAACTGTGACCCAGAGACGCAGGCTTGATCAGACGTGTTCAAACAGGCAGAAGGCGCTGCAAGAGTGGTGAACAAATGGGCAGGAACTCGCCACTGCTCTGCCCAGAGAGTAATCGGACTGGAAAACTGTGTGTATGTGGCTCATGAGAAATGTATGTACAGCTAGGCTGATTTAAGTGGATTGATGCTTTGAGTGAGCGTCACCCTCTCCAGCAGTGACAACACCAAATGCTTGAAAGGTGGTAGTTAAAGCCCACTGAGAGAAGCGATTATGAAATGAGCTGACCCGGATGCAGATTTCTTTGCCCTTGAGCTTAGGGAGAAGGCTTAAGCAGGAGTTTTATATCCCTTCCAATCTTGCTTTTATTTAATCCTTGCTAATGCAGCTTGGAAAGTGCCGGGAAGTCCAGCTCTTCTCTGGGCTCCCAGTTTTGGGGCATAATGACTTTGCAAGGTTTGGGTGAGTGGTAGATTGAAAGAAAAAGAGGAGAGCATATGTTTTGTCTTTTTTGTTGTTTTGTTCTTCTGTTTCTAAGGAAGGACAGCAATAAAGCCATAGTCTTAAAGGCCAGCTCTGACCTCATAACATCCTCATTCTCTCTTCTTGCTTTCTCTTTTTAATTTGTCTAGTTTGGATGAAATATCATAAACCTATCCTTAAGCCTGAATCTGGAGGCTCTGACCTGCTTTACCTTTACACATCCTTATAGCATTCTGACAGCCTAAATACATGCTAGGTTCAGTGGTTTTCCCATGAGCAAGCCAGTATCTGTAATTCTCATCAGTAGTGCTGATGACTTCTGAAAATCAAATTATCCCTTTCAGATGCCAAGACAAGGGTCTTGCAGTCTCTGCTTAGGCACCTAACTCTGATAAGTGCTGCCCTAGACACTGAAAAAAACATCAATATATCAATTAATTTCTGCCTGTTATTGAGTGATTCAGACGGTGCTGTGAGCCAGACTCTTTTTCTTTGTTTTACGGTAAGGTACAGGCAAATTGAGACCCCTGCAAAATGTGTTTGCGAGCAGGGAAGCTCAGTGCAGCAGATGTCTGTGAAGCCTCAAAGAGCAGGGCTGAGAGATGGAGATGTTGTGTCCCAGACTTACGCTGATCAAAAATTCCTGACTGCTCAGACACTGGACTGCTCTGTCCATTTTATTTTCCATTTCATTCATCTATGAGTGGGGTTTTTAGTCATCTCATCCCTTCACATTCGTCTGGGTAGGCTAAATTTTTGTCTAGCTCTGTAAGCTGCTGTTGTCCACACTATTGCAGACGAAGAGCCTCCTCCTGTGTACTCTGGGTCCAGCGGTTCCTTCTCTAGCCCTTCTTGCCCCTCTTCCTGAGAATGAATACAGCGTTGTAGAAGCAGGGGAGATACAGAGGCTTCTTCCAGGCTCATTTTATCCTGCTCATGATAGTCATCTTTGTGTTAGAAAGCTCTTCATCTATTTCATCACATTTTTCCCAAAGTATCTGGTAGGCCCATGTTAGCTGGTCTTTCACAGTACATGTTGGAGCCCTAGTGATCAATAGTTGGACCAGTGAATGGTACATAAATATATCCAAGTCCCCTGCATAGCCCCTACTGTTACAGAGGTGTACTGGACTAAATCCTGGAGAACTAGTGGAATGCAGAAAAGTGGGAGAAGAAGTGGGGATAAAAGGCCAGAAGAACGTTGAGCTGAACAGTTCTAGGGCATGGGGCAAGATAGTTATTTGTACCTACGCTCTTGGAAGAAAATGTAGTTATTGGAGAGCTGGCCTTGAGAAATGTATGGATATGTGTTACCATCCATCTCTGACTGAAGAGCCTGACCATGTGTTCCTATGAATTATGTGTCTTCTGTACTCTGAATTTCTGTTTGTAGCTGACGCTTACCCTAAGATATTTGGTGGAAGTGCCTAAAAGTTTTTATTGTCCTGGGGGGAAGAATGTTCCATCTGGCTTTTTTTTCCTGAAAAGTATTTTTGTAAGCTAAGGCCTTTGCCAATGTGAACCATGCAGTGACTTGCTATGGTGTAACAACTGGCTGCCTCAGACATGGAGCATGAATATAAAGGTCACTGAAGAATTTATAGAGTTAATAATTTATTTCTTCTGTCAGTTCAGACAGAATAATTATGGGCTCTGCCTTGCCCAGCTGGGAAGAAACTTAATGCTGACTGCAGTCAGTTTTTGCACTGCAGTTTATTGCTGGTGTGTGCTTTCTCTTAGAGATTTGGTTTGTCCCCACCTGTTCAGAAAACTAATTTTAATCTTAATCCTGCTGCCTTTCTCCCCTCTGAGAAACTGGACCTTTGCTGTGTCAAACTGCTTCTTACAAGTAGGAGGCAGTGGGAAGGTGCTGGTGGCACCAGGGTGCTCAATCCGTCTGTCCATCTGGCACTCAGGTGCTCCCCTCCTAGCCAGGGAGACTACCCTGTGCCCTCTCCCCACCTCCTGGCCGCAGAAGCAAGTTTGACTTGTGTCATATGGTCATAAAAACAAGTTGAGCTGTTGAACTGATCTGGACGGTGGTGGTAAGATGTGGGCTTCTCAGCAGAGACCCTCAGACAGCACCTGTCACATGTTTGCATACCTTTCTGTCTTTTTTTCCATTTTTGATCATCCTTGTTGTAGCCCTTTCTTTGCCCCAGTCTCCTCCTAGAGAAACTACCTGCCCCATTTTTGGTTTACCCATGGGTCACAGTTTTGCGACATCCGTGCTCAGGTTTGCTATTTCTGATACTATTCCCTAGGCATTTTTAGCTCTAACTGATATTACTGAGATGGTTACCCAGTCCTGCTGGCCTTGCAGCGGATAAGATGGCTAAAGGAGTGGGAGGCTGGGTTCTCAAACATCTCTGCGTAATACTGAAATGCTTGGGTTCGAAGATGGAGAGGTGAGCAAAAGCCCGTGTCTGCTCTGATTGATGTAGATGGTCATGGAATTAAGTGAACACTTTGGAAATCCTATCTGACAACCCACCTGAAGGGATTTCATGTTCCTGATGCTGTTTTTTCACTAAAAGGTAGATAAGCTTTGTTTGTTTTGACTCTGCAGGCAGAAGCACTTGTGTGGGATAATGATGTATCAGCTCATGCCCAGACTGTTGCCAAGGCCAAATATGAATTTTTGTTTGGCTTGGAAGAAGAGAAGCCTTCAGAAACGAGTAAGTGCAGTTTATTACTATTGTGTGCAAAAAAAAATTTACAAAAATCTCTTAAGCCACTAGAGAAAGTTTTGCAGAAGCTGCTCCCCGATGATCCCAGAAGGGCTCTTTCATTGTGCTACGCTGCCCTTCGCCATACCACAGTGCAAGTGCCAGGAGCCTGCTGGTGTGGCCCCAGAAAATGACAGCAGTTCCCTGTCTTACACCCACACTCCTTCCTCTTTCATATTTGGCTCACCTGGACCACCTTGACGTGACAGCAGGGACTGGTGTGCCGGAGACGTGTTGGTGGAGCGATTCTCAGCATTTCTCTGTGACAGAGTAATTTCAGCCACACGTTCTGCAGCTGCACATGCTGAAACATGGCCATCTCAGCCTAGAGACCCTTCCAGGAATGCCTTTCGTGATCTATACCCTGCTCTTCCTGCACCTAGAGGTAGATTTTAATTTAGATACTTGAGGTGGTACATGATCTTCTCCAGCCCTTGTAGTTAGTAATTCAAGAAATCCAGGTGCAGTAATGTTATGCCTAAAGATCAGTCTTATTTATGTTCTTTTCTTGTAAATATAGGGCGTTTTCTACCTTTTTGCAGCCCAAGCTTAGAGAAAAGGAATGTAGTTACTATACATATATCTCTTGCCTCATTGTAATTATCCACAATCCCTGCCCTCTTTGCAAAAATATTTCCTTAGGCTGTTCTCTTTCCATCTTGATCCTTTCTAATTGCAAACTTCCTGGAATGTCAGTTTTAATTAAAGAAGACTCCCTTCTTGCCAGAGAAGGCCAGCACTTTGGGCAGAAACAAGCTGTGTAGGTTCCTCCACTTCAGTAAGAAAAGGAAAGGAGGGGGGAAAAAAAAAAAGGAAAAAAGGCTGGAAACTGAGTAACCAGTTTTTCCCTGGATTTTCTAACATTTGGTCTTCCACTTGGAAAATTCTCATTGCAAAAAGGTGAAAAAACCAAAACCAAACATGTCCTCATTTGGGGATTTCAAAAACTTTTACAAATTGCCACAAAGTGTGTATTGGATTATTGCATGAATCATGAATGACCTCATTTCTTGTTTGGAGATACACACTGTGAGAGCACTGTCAGCTAGCATTAGTACATTTCCAGAGACTGGCATTAAATAAAGTATGCTGTGTCTAATAAATTCAAGTGAGTCTGTTGTTATTACTAACGAAAACAATTATCAGATGTGATGGGTACTCTGAGCTGACCGGGTACTGAGCCCAAAAATAAAGGGTGGCAAAGAATAATCCAGATATATTGGCTTATGTGTGGACTTTGCTGTATTTTTCCTGTGCTGCTTCTTGCCTTGTTTCGGAATCTCTGTTCCTTTATTAATCAGAACTACCATTAAGGGCTAACAGTGAAATGAGAGTGACGTTGAGGGAGTTTCCAAGTATTTGATGGTTAACATGTAACATTTGTGAATTGTACCCAAAAACTAGTTGACTTCCTGCCTACCCAGACTGGCTTCATGCTGCCACAGACAAATGCGTCTTCTTCCTCCTCCTCCTCCTCCAGGAAAACGTTTCATCGCAATGGATGAGAGTGGTTATGCCCCTTCCACTGTTTTTTTCTTCAAGAGAGCAGATTTTAATTGCTTATTAAGTGGAGATGAATGAGGATGGGACAACTGAGAGCACAGTAGTACAACCTCAGAGCTCTGTGCACCAAATCCTGGCTTCCTTTGTTTTCAAATATATCATGATATACATTTTGGGGGGAAGCAGGTGTGCCTGTGTCAAGGGCTGGGGCTGAGCTGTCCACTAAATGAATGATAGATGTTCTCTAACCCCTCTCCCTTCCCAAACAGGAGAGGAAAGATTAATATGGCAGAGGGTCTTGTGGATTGGAAAAAAACCTAAACCAGTTTTAATAACACATTAATAGTACTAATAAGGAAATAGTGAAATTAATTAATTAATTACTTATATACAAATACATACAAAAAAAGATACCAAACCCATCTCCTCCCCTCCCCAACAGTGATCACCACTAATGCTGCAAAGCAGTCAGGCACTGCAGAAGTCCCAGGCTCGGAGGCAGAGAGGAACCAGGTACAGGAGCTGGATTGGCAGCTTGAGGATTGGTGTCAAAGGCAGAAAAATGAATGGAGTCCTTCTCGGACACCAGCCATTGAAGACGAGGACGTTAACACCTATGATCTCTGAACTTTATACCAATACGATATATATGGAATACTTTGTTGGTCAGGCTTGGGTCACCTGTCCTATCTGGTTTTCCCTGGAGGTGCAAGTTTTTCCTTCTTTTTGACCCTTTTACTTCCCAGCACCTCCAACATTTTACACGAGATTTAGCAGTGACCTTATTCACTCTAAGAGCAAGTATAAGCAAGAGCCTTTCTACATACCAATCCTTGGCAGTAACTATGAATGTCAACCATTGTCGCTTCTAAGTAGAAGGCGCTGCAAAAGCATGCTGTTAACTTCAGCAGGTTCTGTATTAGATGGGGAGGGAAAAAACACCACCAAAAATCCAAACAAACCTGCTACTTCCTCAAGTTGCTTTTAAAAGAAAGAAGACACGCTTTTTGTGGGTCAAAGTATGAAAGATTTCAACCAAACGAATGATGAGAGCAGGGTCAGGAGAAGTACTGGTGTTCATCTTGATCAAGAGAATGGCTTGTCACTATGGGCAGTAAAGCTAAACTTTTATTTATCTGGCCCAAAACATTTCAGTTGCGCCTTGGCTGGCCTCAGAAACTAAGAATGTAATGGGAAAGCTGCTGCACAGCTTAATTGCAATTGCCTCCCAGTTCATCCTTTCCCTTTCAGCCACAGCCATGTTACTGAAGTCCTTCTGGATGCAGTTGAGTGTATACATTTTGTAATTGGCTACTGAAATACTTGCATCAGACAAGCCAGTTTACAAAGAAGGAGGAATAATTGGGTGCAACACTTCTGGTTGTCTAGACGGGAGATGCCAGACTCTGTTAATAAGCTGTCGTGCTGATTTTTACTTCCAAGTTGAAGCTTGTAGTCATTTTTACAGGTGAGAGGAGAGGAAAAAAAGGCTAGATGCCTGCAGAAGACAGTTTTCATTGATGATTTTCAAATGCTAATAAAGCTGCCACTTTAAAAACTATTCCTTCTCATTTCTCTCCTTTGGTGCCCTCGGTCTGGTTTTATCTGGGATATTTGCGATCCCTGATGTACTCTGTTGCCCTGGATGCGTCACTCAGAGCAGGATCAGGTCCAGGACCCCAGGACCCTCATCGCATTGTGAGGGGACTTGGCAGCACATATCTCCCTGCAAACCCCTGCTTGTGGGGCTGCTCTTCACCTCTATGGGATGCACCACGCGCAGCCACATGCTCCTGTGCTGCCTGGCCGCCTTCTGCTTTCCAGCAAAAGAAAATGTTTTCTAAAAACTGAATTTGGCTGGGTTGAACAAGAATTTCTTCTCAGCCTCATTGACATAAAGAGTGCTTGTTGTGTATGAAAACATGCCCTTCTCTGGAACCAGCTGTGGAAACAGTGATCTCTGTTCAACAGACTTATCTTCAGGCTTGGGCACGTTACAGAGTATTGATTTTTATGACTTTACAGTTAATATATTTAAGTACTAAAAAGAAGAAGAAGTCCTGATAATATGACACAGTGCTAAAAAGTGCTTCCTTTGGGGAAAAAGAGGAGAATGCTGCAAAATAGTTGCTAAAGTAAACATGAAAGCTAAGTACCCCATAGGTCCTGTTATAAGAGAAAATAAATCCAAGAGATTTTTTAGGAATAAAATAGTTTCTTAAGACTCATTAACCATCTTTTCTCTGATGCTTTTAGGAGGGTAAGGCTTTCACCCCTCCTGTGTAACAGGGTTTAATCTCATCCATCACAAAAAAAAGCCCTGTACAGTTAGTCCATGGGTTGCTATGCAAATCTGGTCTTTCCCAACAGCTGCTGGAGGAAGCTTGTTTTTGAATTCTGGGTGAAACAAATAGCTTTTTGGAAAGCTGTCACTTGCTGTTTTGTGTACAGTGAGGTGTCATGAGGCAACTGAGCTCATTTAACAGCTTGCTTCTGCCAAGAGAGATGGTCCCAGCTGCACACTGCCACAGATTGTCTTATGCGAATTCTTGTGCTCATTCGTTTCTTAGCAAGCTCAAGCTAGCAAAAACTGAGTAACCAGAAAACCAAAACACCACCAAAAAATCAATTCTAAAAAAAAAAGGTTTACTTTCTCCTGGCCATGTGTGCTGAATCACCTGTGCAACAGGTCAGATAGTGCCAAAGCTGACACATGAAAGAAAATGAAATGCATACTTTAACCTGTGCAACATTCCTTACCTGGATTGTGGAAATGATTACTTTTACTCTACAATTTCTCCACCTGGTTTCTGGAGCAAAGGAACGACACAATGCTTGCGCTTTTTATGTACAAGCAAAGGCATTTTGTGCTCCTGTGATGCTGATATAAACAGCCGTAAGAAAATTATACCAGTAACTTTCTGTAAAAGGAGTATCACTAACTTACTAATTGTCCTTTGCTCCTCTGTCTTCCTTGCTTTCTCTGTGTCACTTCCAATTCACGCGTGTCCAGCTCCGCTGCATCCCCGTTGCATTGCATGGATGTGGCACCTTCTGATCATCGCTTCAAAAACTGCCCCCAGACCACTGTCACTCAGATATTGCCTCATTCTCACAGCAGCCCAGATTGCTGACTCTGATCTTGCCTGGTGCTTCAACCGCATTGCTTTCCATTTCAGTGCACTGCTCTTTGTCATGCTCTTTCTATCTCCAGTTTTGTCCTGCTCTTTCTTTCTCCAGGCAGTCGTAAAAGTCTGGGCTCCCTGGTCTGGTATCCTCCTCTGCAACTCTGCTTTCCTAAAAGGTGCAAAACTGCATTCTCTGAGAGGTGAAGGACTACCTGATTTTCACATTCACGTTGCTTAATTAAGGCAGATGGAGCCTGTGAGGATAGGTATATCAAATATGCATTTAAGACTATGTCCTGCAGCATTTACCAGGGGTCACGTG